GCCCTCGACGGAGGGCCGAGAATCACGTCCTTCGCCTCGCGCAACTCAAGACGGACAGGGATGATTGCCGTAATAATATCACACCGATATCGTTATTCCTTTTCTCCTCCGAAGCCTCACTTCTCATTCAAATCGAATGAAATGTTTTAGCGTTCTAGTTGGAAACACGCATTCAATAATGTCGAATTTGAATTTCAAAGTCGAGCCGGAGAATGACGTTCCATTCAAGGTTCTGATGTTATACGCGTAGTACACTTTCCATCCATTTAATTACAAACATGAAACGAACTGAAGGAGAAATAAGACCACTGCTATCCGTATATATAAATGCTACGACTTTGAGGAAAACGAAGGTATTGTCCGGCTGATGTATGGCGAGATGTAAGAGAACATTCTGAATATATACGTTCGCCTAGTAACGCCACTGTTCGTAAGACAGAAATGGTCTCGCAATCCGGGAGACGCTAATCGCGAGCGAGCTGAGCCGGGTAAACGCAATTGCACGAAGGCACAGAAGCGCGCAATTCACGACGGAGTTGCGCTTATTCAGAAGCCCCCTCGTTCGCCTTGAAACGAGCGCACGCTCGAGACATGATAAAATGCAAATGCAACGCCCAATGACGATTCTCCCTTAGGAAAACGCAAAACACGTGGAAATTGCCACGATAGTGATTAATGCTATAAATAAAATACGTAATTTCAAGGCGAGTTTTCTTGGATTTTAAAAATATATTAAACGTAATATATTAAACGTGAGAATTAGAATGATTAATTAAACATTGCACAATGTCTACTAATTGTAAATTAAAAATAACTGATGTTCAACATTATTTCCAAAAATTGTTCTGTGATGATAAAGAATCAGCGCCGAATGTGCTACGCATGAGAGAAAATGAGCATTGGACTGATAACGACGACGACGACGATGACGACGAGGACGACGATGACGACGAGGAAGACGCATATGCGTGCTCCGCGTGCGTTGTATGCATCTGTCAAAACCACGCCCTTATCCCCATCTTGCTGCCTCGCGCTATTCGCCTATATGTATACAGAGAAAGAGTAAGAAAGTTCCCCCGACAGACTTTCCACGATTGAAGCGATTTGTCTCGTTTCGAAAGAACAATTAAATTTAATTAGCAGCTCACGTCCAAGTATAATTACACATTAAATTATTATATTTTGGAATCAACTTATTAGAACAAACAGAAATGTACGGCAAAATGTAAAAAAAAAAATTATTAGTAAAGAAACAGTAAAAATATAATAATGAAAAATAATGAGAAAATATATGAAGCAAATCAGAGAATAATCGATGAATAAATCTTTAATAAGCTTGTTACGTCTAATTTTGCACATTTGACATTTGCGTTTATATAAACACACACGTTTGGAAAGTAGTTTCCTTAAACTTCAACTTTTCTCATCGCTCTTTTCGGAACGTTTTAAATTGCTCCGATCGAAAACACGATAAATTCACGTGATACAGTTCACTCATTAATTCAGGCACATTAATTTGCGTCCGTTAATCTTATCGATCCTCGTGCATGTGCATAATTACAATGAGGTATAATACAGTGCACACGAGGTATCACTAGTAACACGTACAGAAAAGAAATCCCTGTCGGTGAGCGATAAAAGGTCTAATTCACCCACATTTTAATAATACGTATTTTATGCCTGTACTGTAATTTTAGGAAAATACAGTAATGGACATAAAATACGGTAATGGGCATCGTATATTATAGCAGTTCTTTTTATGATAAAACATTCATTACTAAAACGGTAAATGACTCATTCCCGTTTCGTTTGACTGTTCGTCATATTCCACGAAGAACATCATTGATTCGCGATGCCACCGCTCAATTACGGAATGAATAGGAAAATGTTATTTTCTTCTAAAAAGAGACTCCTTCGACCACACCCCGGTTCCATTTTCGATCGCGACGAAAGACCGATCGATATCTTGGTGCAAGCCAGGTGGTCGGTGTAGACAAGAACGTATAATTTCGAGATATGTAATTTAATTTATTATATGTCACGGAAAATTCATCCTACAATATTCCTATTATCGCAGCAGGCATAGAAATTATTTACCTGTAAAGCGACAATCAAATTTAATTATCACGCTACCAGCAAAATGGAGTTCACGCCGAAACGTCGCGTTTCAATTATTGTAAATAAACATAAACGGTTCAATGCTGCGTGTTTATATCACAGCGTGAATTCGATGGTAATTGTAACCAACTCTGTGAGCGTTGTACGAAAGATTACACTGTTACTTGAGATAAGTTATAACTCGCGTTGAAATTATCAAACGAGAATCGTAACGCCGGGAAATCGTGATAACACCGATTTATAAGGATTAAAGTTCCGATTGACTCACGGGATCGAAACTCTATTTCCAGATCACTATTATCCTTGAAGAAAAATCACTTATTAGTTTTGCCAATTACAGGAATGCGAAATCTCTCAGCTGAGATATTTCATAAGTGAAGAACCGATTGCTAAACGTTTCGCCGCCTCACGAAGGAAAGCACCGAAAGCACTACTCTCTGCACAGGGTGTCACGGTTCCCCGACGCTCTCACGCCAATCTCGATGTCAATTCTTTCCCACTTCTGCAACTTAATACGCGAAAGAGAGGACAGAAGACGATGAGAGGAAGAAGAAAATAATGCTCGCTGTCGTTCACCGGTCAATTTTTTTGGAAAGTGAATTTGTTTCGAGCGAGTAACTTCCTTAAGAGTACACAGGAATCCGGGAGATGTCCGAAATGTCTTTGGAGAATGTTCGCTAAATATTTACGATTTCGGCCGGTTCGTTTTGCTCGCTTTTAATCCGCCATTGGACGCACATTGCTGTGAGAAAACTACGTTGTAACTCGCGACGAAGGGTGCACTGACCTGTCAGTTGACGCGTGCAATTTCTAGGGCGCAGGTAGGCGCGAACACTGTCGAACAGCAGACGTTGTTCAAGGACAGGAACGAGACGGTATACTGACTGACCGGTTAGTGCTTCTGCGACACGTAACACCAGGTAACAGCGTCAAACAGCGCCCGTCGTTCATCCCCCTCTACCCGCAGCCTCCCCTCTTAGGATGACAGGCCCCTCTCGCCAGGATCGGCGCAGAAAAGGCTGAAAAGGATTTGATGAAGTGCCTGCAGTGCCTTTCAATGCCGTTAACACGCCCTGGAAATTGGAATAGTTAGATAGTTCATAAATAAGTAGTTCATTGTAATACTAGTAGCATCATAATTACAAAAAAAAAGGAAATTTTCGGCTTAATTTTATTTATTATGTGTTTTATTTTCAGCACGGTAAATCTGTTCTTTGTGGGTGAACTACTGTACAGAGTTAATATGTATTATATCTGGAGTTTGACGAAAGTGAGAAATTTTTAGTACAGTCCAGTGCAGCGACAAAAAAAACAGAAACATAAATAAGAAATGAAATAAATAAATAAACCTAAATTGTATATTCCGTAAAGTTAATTTAGAATTAACTCTTCAATTTATATACGATAAAATAATATAATGTTCATACCATGTGTTAATATGTACTACAGAAATATATTTCGGGTTATATGTAAATCATATCTCATTTCTTTCACAGCACACGTGCACAACATATATAGCATCTGGGTCTTGCGAGTGCACATATCGTTCCTGAACTAGGACCCCACCGCTCACGAATGGGAACCAATCGACGCTTAGCTCCTACCTCCCCAATCGCGTCAATTAATCGCGTTCCCCTTTTCTGCGTCTTTTTTTCCGATCGTCTCCTTGACCGTCGTGCGGAGGGATAACTGACTCACCCTCAGCGACGACCGGGAATTTACGTTCGACGCACAGCCGGCGCCGTGAATTTGACATTGAACGACGGCGCGGCTTCTTCTCGGCGACGATCTTTTTATATCCTCTTCTCCTTGTTTTTCTTCTTCTCCCTCTCGTTTTCGAGCTGGACAACTGAGTTTGCGATGCCTATCCATTCCCAACATGTTAGAGGGTGGAAGGAGACAAAAATATTAGGGTTGACACACGTCAGTGAGTCATTAGTCCCATGTAGGCACATCTGCGTGTCACATGTTCGTTCGTAAAGTTCCGTTTTAGTTAAGCTGAGAACTTGAAATAACCGGAAATAAAAAGATATAATTTTGCTCATTTTTTTTAATTCATCCATTTGGTAATGACAGATGTGCGATAATCTTTATTATAATTTGGAATAGTCTTTATAGAGAAAATTATAATAGAGTAGTAATTAGGAATTAATATAATAGTCGTTTTTATGAATTAAACTTTGAAATTATAATACTTGATTGCAACGTTTCTTTTTTAATTTCTTTTGTATACTAAATAAACTAAACTTTTGTATACTAAATAAACTAATGCGCAATTCCGGAATATTCGATTCAGTATTTAAATATGTTCGAGACAAATAACTGGGAACGATATTGGGAATGATTTGGATGAAATATTAATTTGCATCGACATGAACTTTTATTGACAGTTGAGACACCTCTTATCTCTAAATTTAATACACATCACATACTTTCTTATTGTAATGTAATCATTAGGAATATATACAAAAAGCCATTATAAGGAAACTTGTATCATATACGGCGATACAATGAAAAGATTTGTAGTCTCGAGGTATGAATAAAGAACTTATCTAAAAATACGCGAATTGTATAAGTCGGATGATGTGTATCGTTAAACCTAATGATATCTATGTAATAAAAAAAATGAAAGGCAGAAGCCATGGCTAACTATGATTTAAGTAATTAAATCAAAAATTACTTGAAATCAACAATAATGTTGGTTTTTTTTACAAAAAATTCCGATTGTATCTTTAAATGTTCAAATTATATTGAAGGGAGAGCATCGACACAGGTTTAAAACCTCATTAAGATTAATGAATAGAAGATATGAGATAATGATCTTTTTTAATACGATTGAATATAAAAAATAATCGAGGAAAAAACAAAAAAAAGGAAAAGAAAGAACAAATAATAATTTGCTGATTTTTTTATCTCTCTGCTTAGTCGGCTTTCTGTTTGCTGCTCTCCGGTGATTTGTCACCATTCATAGGCGAACGAGAGCGACTACGGCTCTTGCTATGTTTGCTTCCTGATCGGGAGCGGGATCTGTCACCTCTGGAACGCTCGCGGCTCGACCTATCCCTGAAAGGAGGAGGAACGTTTAAGGAGTTCAGCATTTGTGTCATCGTTCGAGAAATTTTATTTTCTTGCGCCAATTATGTATCGATTAAAGAAAAGGCCAGCGAGAGGACTCACTTTGAGGGAGACTTGGCTTTGGATTTGGACTGCGACCTGGACTTTGACCTCTCAGCCTTGGACCTAGAACGAGATCTGGATTTGGACTTTGACTTAGATTTCGACTTTGAGCGGTCTCTTGATCTGCAAAATTATAGTTCAAAATGAAAGGGATACGAAAGTAGAGAAAGTTGACAAAATACAAAGAAACTCGCTTTCTTTTTTTTCTGACGTTTTCCAAGCGCGCGCGCACGGTGAATAGGTGAACGCGTATAAAGCGTGATTAAGCGTGAGAGCTCAAGGCACGTAGCCAGCCCAAAAACAATGCCAATAATAAATGGGAATGAGAGTGTACACTGACTGTGACTAACTGCGCAAGAAAAAAAATAAAATAAGTGAAATAAATATACATAGTTATGAATAAAGTAAACAGATTAATAAAACAAAGATACTTACTTGGATTTTGAGCGTGAACGACTACGCTCGGGGGATTTGGATTTAGACTTGGACTTGGACTTCGAGTGTGCTCTTGACTTGGAACGGGTGCTACGACGGCTGTGGCTACGAGAACTGCGACGGCTTCTACATTACAGAAAACAGCAATAAGGCGTACTTAATATTCTAAAACGGTTTCCAATGTTATCGCAAATTCTTTCATTATGCGATAAGTTTTGCGATCGTTTTTGCAAAAAATAAAACCTTTATCAACTCATAATCAAATAAAATAGAACTTAAAAAAAAAAAAAATAAATTTATAAGTTTATAAAAAATTAAATCGTGACAAATTACTTTAATAAAAAAATAAAAATATAATGGTAAAAACTTAATTAAAAAATAATAAATTTGGACAAAATAATAAATGGATCGCTTTGTAGACTGTCGTATTACACAAGACTGTATCTAGATAAAGAGAAATCATAATGGAAAACATAACAGGTGGCGTAATGTCGCTCCGACAGTACCTTGATCGGGATCGAGAACGACGATTATACCTTGAACGAGAGCGTGACCGACGACGTGATCGAGATCGGGATCGGGAACGCGATCGCGAACTAGAGGACCTTGAACGACGACCACGTCTCTTGTCTTCGATGAGTCTAATCCTGCGGCCATTCAATTCTGTGTCGTCTAATTTATCGATAGCGTTCTTCAAGTCGGAGTATGTCGCGAATTCGACAACTCTGCAAAATCAATCGTTTGAATCATTAGATCAATGTAACACGAGACAATGCAGATGCGCAGATATTTTTCATAATCTTGCTATAATGCTTTGATTTCCTCCTGTTTTTTAGTTATTAAAACAAAGTGACTTAATTTTACTTATCATTCTCACAACTAACAAAGTCACTTACCCTTCATTTCTACGTTGCTTATGAGCATCGGCATATGTTACTTCCCCCGCCTGTCTCATGTAATCCTTCAAATCCTGAACATCACACAAGAACCAAAATTAACATGTTTCTCTATGCTAATGTACATAAATATGCGAATAGATTTAGAATAGAATTAGTAGTTGGAGTTTACTATACTGTGTTCCTAGTCTGATGTATCGCGCAGGTTAAAATATATCCTGTGCACTCATACGTTATATGCTATTTCGATTTCTTTCCTTGATAGAGGTAACCTGGATCTACTCGACTAGAGAAAGAGATAAGCATAGCATGGTGTCTACATCTGCTCGCGTCTTCAGTGGTGAGAATAAAGTTATCAATTACGTGTTCGAATTTAGTACCTGCTTATCGACACAACCTTTCTTTTTATGCAATTCAATCTTTTAAATGATTATATGATTATGATTTAATTTATACATATAGACAACTCCGCCCTGCATAATGAGACATTATTTATAAAACGCTTATATAAATCAATCAATACTCGTATTAATTAATATGGACTTTACGAGAGTAATTTTCATTTCTGCAGGATGGCTCACAATATAATTACAAAAATAATAAATGCGATACTTTTTAAATGTCTGTAACATGTGTCATAAAAAATAGTATAACTATAACTAATATGTTTAATATACTGTTTTAAGTAATATATAATTCTTCATAAAGAATTACATACATACAGCAAAAAAATCGCTATAAAGCGACACAATTAAAATATATATACATATATATACATATAAACATAATTCAGCAAAAGTTAAACAAAAGTTTCAAAGGCTATGTGAATACATTCTGCATCGCAATAAAATAGGAAAAAATAAGTTCGGACATGAGGAACTAAGGATGAAAATTGTGTTATTTTTTCGCTAAAAATAAAACTATAATGAGTATATCGATAATTCTTCTCCCGTAATATTTTCTTGGATTTTTCTCTCTTAATGTTGTAAGATTACTCTGTAGTGTGAACAGATGTCTTCCACATTATCCTTTCTTCTTTGTTGTCTCTTCCACGCATCATCTAGTTCAATACTTCGCAGTCATTCCTCATGAAGGATATCGGGTGAAGGTAAATATTGTCTAGTGGTCCATTTGCGTTCATCGCTGGGAAATTTGCTTATATGTATATTTCTCTCTTTCTTTCTCTCTCTCTCTCTTTCTCTCTCTGTGCGTGTGTGGGAACCAGGTACGGCTTTAGTGTTATGGAGATACTAGGTAGACAGTAGGTGTGGCTATGTGTCCGTTGTTTAACATGGCGAGTACGAGATAGCGCAGACATCTCCGTATTTGTGGGATACCACATGGCGGCGGCCTGTCTGAGATTTGTGCTGATGTTTTTCAAGGTCCAAGCGCAAATTCCATGTAATAAAAGAAAAAAAGGGAAAAATAGAACGCATGCCATTGCCAAAGATATATTTCCAACGCCGGACAAATTTCCTCTGAAATATCATTCCTCGCTTGCTACATTTAAAATATAATGTAATAATGCAAATTATTTTGCATAAAGAAAAGTTGGTCTTTCGCTATTCAGAAAATTTTGAAACGTATTCGCGATAGAAAGATATTCATTGTTATAAATAGAGAAAATCCGGACGTTATCATAGTACGTTGAGACACAAAATTGATTTAGCGAGTAACAAGTAGATTTCTAATTTCGAGCACATAAATATATCACTAGTGGTTCCCTATCTCCGATTTCGCATTTAGTTGCGCGTGCACAGCTCCGAACTTCATAAAACTTGAACAGTTCGATGTACGCTGAGCTATAGTGCACAGTAATATTAAATAAGAAGGTGTATAGATAGGTATATTATAATTATATATATATATAGTATACATATGTGAACAAAACCACGTTCAAGAGTGTGTAGTTATAATAGATATATATGTGTATATCTAAGAGTACACTCGGTTAAGGTGACGCATTTACCTTGGGCCCAGGCACCACCTTGCTTACGGACAGAGAGAAAGGCCAGACACACGGCGCTCGGTCGGGTCGAACGGATCTGTATGGCGTAGTCGCGGATGGTTCGGGTTTCGGCCCGTGTATGCCCTCATGGGTGTGGCCGTTGCCTGACTTACTAGATGGCTAGGTTGCATGGCGTACCAGTAGCAATGACAGTCACAGTGAAGTGGTAGATGTGATGGTGGTTGTAATGATGGTCGATGGTGAAGGTACTGAATTATGACCATGTCGGTTTATAGTAATAGGAAGAGTGGTGATATATATTGGTGGAGGTTGTTTACGTAAATAAATGTTTGTTTCCCAGACGGATAAAGTAGATAGCGGCGGTTGGATCTCTCTTTCTCTCTCTTTCTCTCTCTCTCTCTTTCTTTTTTTCCCCAGTGATCACGATGAAGAGGATTGAAGTATGCACAATAGCCCTATCACTGGGATTTCACCGGGATTCACCACGTATTACTGCGCGCGAGTAGTAGTATGATGGTAGATAGGTGGTGGTAGGTGTACATCCCAGTGCCACGCGGCTCTCTCTGTCACCCGGGACACCTCAGAAACCAACCTGGTGCCACTTGACCTCAAGGCGGGCCCATCGCGTGCATCGTCATCTCTATCATCGCACATCAGTCTATTGGCCCTATCGGTCGCCCCTCCTCGGCGAAGAGGATATGGCTCTTCGGAAAGAACATCAATTTTATTTCGTTTTTTCTCAAACTGTTGGCCGAACGTAAATGAAATAATAAATTGAAAAAGTAACGTTGAACAATCAAGACTCGATCGAGAGAATATTTTTGGTAAATAACCAATCATCGGAAAAGTGCAACGACAGTTATAGAAAAAATATATATCTACTTTCATAGATTATGTATGTAATATACAAATATATACACAATGTAAATTGATCAAGTAAGACTTGGTTTACGTGCAGTCTTCATTTCGATTTATGAGTATAATTTTTTATGGCTTTTTGGTTTTAAAAGCATCCACTTGCGTCCTGGTATTCCCACATATCGTTTGCATTTATTTGTATCGCTCGGTCTATCGTCTCCATTCGTTGCTTCGTTTCTTCCGCTTTAGAGCTCTTCGCATCCACGGTGTCCGCCGAATATCTTTGTCCAATAGTATCTGGCTGCTTCATCACGGGCCATGTTGTTACTCCGAGTTCCTCGTGCAAACCTATGCCCTTGTATTAGGTATGATGATCCGCAATGCATTTCTTGTATCTCGCACGTCTGATATTTCTGTCGTCCATATGGATTTTTATTCTTTTTCGCTTCTCTAATTTTTCTCTTTTTCATGAAAATGTCTTTTGCACATGTATATAAAAATTTGATTTCAATTTTTGCCAGACTTACTTGATCAAAATCTTACATCTTTTTAAATTCCAAAATAGGGCTTTCTATTCTGAGTAAATAAACGTAAAATGAGACGAAAGACAATTGAAGAACAAAAGAAATTCTATTTATCGACACGCGTGGAACTTTAGTAGAAACGGACTGTGAAAAAACTCGGAAAAACTTAGAGATCCGGAGAGATATATATAAATTTGAAAAACCCATATAAAGCAGTGCAATGTTTTCTCTGGAATCGCGAATAGTAATCAAACCAACGAAGGTAATTATCGGTAAAAATGTAAGGTAAAAAAAAAAGCGAGATATGTGTCACTTACCTGCCAGCTGACACGACTTGATAAATTCTCCACAGTCAAGCGATACTCGGTGCGTGTCGGTGGGCCATATCTACAATGGGAAAAAGACCAGATATTATCTACATGTATATTTTTAAAGCAAGCAGGTTTGTCTTGGACCTGACTTTACGTTAATGTAAATGCGAATGAAAATATGGTATAAAACGTAATAATGATATAATTCAAGACATTTACAAAACAGTAAGTTTATGTAAGTTAAGGTGTAATCGTTAGAGCGTAACATTGGATGTATGTACCTGGGCAATGATTGCTTGTAGCTAGATGCAGTCCTCGTGTTTCTGTTCACACTATCTCTGCAAAAAGGGATGTCATGTGAACAGAAATAACGGATCGTCGGTTAAACCTTCAGCAAATAACTACAGATCTGCACTCATTGCTCAGGCACACAATCAATCACCTGTTCCAATCGAATCAAATCTATTCAAAATGCAGCAATAGCGTACCTGTCGTGCCGCATATCGTCTCGGCTGTAACAAACATAATACCACACATCTATTAGTCGCCAATTACATATCGGATCATTTCGTTCAACTACCAGCAATAAACATAATGTCTGGGAGGGTAATCGCTAGGCGTTATATTGCTATCACTTTTTTAATCGCGGCAAAACTTTAACAATTTGACGTACTCGGGAGAGTAGTCAAATCCAAGACAAAAACCAATTCTAAAGATGAAACTTCGATTTCTAATTAAACGTATTTTCGTATGCACAAAGGCAAGAGAACTTTACAAACGCGTAGTTTATCACTCGTCTTTACGCCCTCTTTATGCTAGAGCTTATCAATATCCAAGGTTAAGTTCTTCCCTGTGCGGACGATGTGCGAAATCGATTTACGCGGCATAAAAAAAATTCTAAATATAAGAAAAAAAACGTAATAAAAAAAAAACAAATGGGAGAAGAGGAAAAAAAAATAAAAAATCCATACATAAGAGAAAAGTATCCGAACGGGAAGTAAATTGATCAATCGCTTGGATTTCGCACATCCCGAGCCGGCTGCCTGCAGGGGAGGAGGGGATAATGATCGCTCTGATAAAATAAAAAAAAGGATAGCGTGTCTTACGCAGATCGCCTCGAGTCCCCATAACCACCACGGGAGTCACCATAGCGCCACTGGTCACTACCCCTAGGTGTCCCCCGGGCCCTCTCTACAGTAATTCTGTAACAAGACACATTGGATATGCTTACTTGTCTCTCCAGGAGCGTGAGCGTCCGTAGCCACGGTCGCCTCGCCTCCCTGAAACACCCCGTGCTATCTCCCCCGCCACTCTGAAACACACCCAACAAAACCCCGCCTAAGTCCACGACTAATTCTTACTCTCTAAAGCTGCTTCAGTCCTGCCTTCCTTCCTTCCTTCCTTCTTTTTTTCCTTTCCTTTCCATTCCTCAGTCTCCTTTCTCCGCGAAATCTGATCAAATATCATCCGTCCCTCTCTTTCTCTATCGTCCGGTTTCGTCTGAGGCGCTGTCCCCTCTCTTTCTCTTTCTCCCTATCTCTCTCTTTCGCTCTCTCACTCTTTCTCTCTCTCTCTTTCACGACCCGTTATCGTTCCTTATATAGTCTAATCTGTTTTCTTTATACGATGCTACTTATCGAATTCATTTTCTTTTACCACATCCATCAGCTTTTTCATAACTATATCTGTGATCCTTACACGAAGAAAAATGATTCAATGAATTAGAATTCTGGTGGAAGATAAATGATCCAGAATTTTGGTTAAACTTACTAGATTTGTGACAAAATATTCTAGAATTCTAGTTAAAATAATAAACATTCAAAATTTTCTTAGTTAAATCTACTAAAATTAACCAGAAATCTGATAGACTCGATCAGAATTCTGGATCGTTCATTTTCCATCAAAATTTCAGTTAATTCACCCAAATAGTTTTCTCCGTGTATAATTACGAAATTTTCTTTTTTTTTCTAGTTAAAATATGATGCGGTGCATTATACAGGATCACACGATGTATTTATGAAAAAGCATATGTGCCAAATTTTTCGGCAAAAAAGAAGCAATATAACATTTCTCCAGACGAAGATATATTATTGCCAAGACTTTTTTTACTCGGGGAATTGATGGAAGTAGTTCAAAATGGCGGTAAGTCATTTAAGACGCATTTTATCTCGCTAAATGTCCAATCGTTAATTTGGAGGACAGACGCCGTTTACTATAGATGCAAAATTAAAGATATTAACGGAACACCCGTTAAATGCGAACAGATACAATTGTGCACTGTACATTTGTCTTTAATTAAATAGAAGCAACAGCGAATAATATTACTGGTACAGGTTGAAATGCAATGCGATTAGAGCGTTAAGAATATTGCCACCGCATTCGACCACACTTTATCATTACAATGTTTATTGTATGTTGAAAACTACTATTATTTATTGCATGTAAAAGCTACTAATATTATTGACACTTACATAAATTCCCAAAAGAAAGAAAGAATAAGCATATAGAAAAGAAAATTTTTCAGAGAAAGTTACTTTACGTGTTGTGCTGAATAGATTTCATTTTCTCATTCGAATGCTATTGCTTCTCACATCAATCTAATCTCAAGTGGTATATAACAAGATCAAGTTGATAACAAACTGTTTACTTAAGATAACAAGACATTTAATCGAGAAAGAAATATTGAGTTAAATTATATAAATAATAAATAATCCGCAGGTAAAACAATATTTATTATTTCTATGTGTGAATGTCTTTAGTGACTTAACATTTTTAAAAGATCCTAAAAAATTAAGTTCCTTAAATAATTTAAAGACTACGTTTACACGAATATCTTTAATCGAGTTTAATAACATCCGTAGTTATGAAACTGGCCAATCGTAGCTATTACTCTGAAGAATGGAATGACTGCTTAGCCAGCTTCTAATTACGAATGTTATTAAACTCAATTAAAGTGTTCGTGTAAACGTAGTCTTAGACACTAATCGTCAGTAAATTTGAGCCATTTAGAATCAAGTAATTAAAAAATTTCATTATTTAGTAATTAATCAATTAGTCAGAAAAGAATATTTATTATGTAAATCAGAAGATATTTATGGCTCGATATAATAAATATCGCATCATCACCATTCTAAAAATAAACTGTTACAAAATAGCTATATTGCAATGAACTAATATTTCAATTAAAAAAAATTATCAATTTTAACAAGAGGTGTTGATGTTAAATTATTATAATTTATTTCTGTACATGAAATAACAAAGTGTATTCTTAAAATTGCTATCGTCAACAGAATATATGTATTATTTATATGTACTATTTGATATTTATATAAATTATAAAGATTTGTAGAAAGGAACTACATATCTGTTGTGATATTAGTTAATTTCGCTAATCCCAAATTTAACTCACCCTTAGTGTGTTAGCATGAATTAAAATTTCTTAGTGTGAATTAAAATTTCTTAATGTTTAAAGTGAACCCCCAGTACCAATAATATTATAATTATGATATAGTTCAAACATTAATGTAATCACAATAACAATCCACATATTAAATGGATTGTTATAGAAACTATTCAGTCATGCAAACATGCTACCTATACCATTCCGCCTAATATCGCCTAGTACATGTATGTTTCATACACTAAATGAAATAGAATTGCATTACCTTTCGCCTAAAAGTTCCTTTCCATTTAATTCGTATACGGCATCGTCAGCATCTCTATAGTCGTCGAATTCCTAAAAAAAAAAAAAAAAGAATTCTTTTGTTATTATTTAAAAATAATATACATGTTTTTATTTCAGTATCGGTTGGATCATACATTACTGATGTATTTATATGCAAATCTATGTATTAATTATAAAAGCTTTCATAAATAATGCTAAGTTATAAATACCACTGTATTATTCACGAATTGTAAATGTACATAATGAACATAAAAATCAACCATCATAGATAATAGAATGCTTAGATATGCATAATGTTAATAGCTAAGATTTACTATAATTTATTCATAATTGTTTAAAATTTTTATAAACAATTTTAAAAAATTTCTTCCTGCAAAAGTTTTAGAGTAGGATATATCATTTTTTTACTTAATAAATATATAAATCATACATTAGAAAATAATATTATGTATATATATATATATAACTATACAGAGTGCATAACCAGGATTATTGCATGTGCTTACAAAATTTCAAATTATTGGTATAAGTAACTATCTGGTAGTACATAGCCCATTATAGATGTGGTTTAGTTTTCCTGATTATACATAACTTACAAAGCTTTTGCAGAATAATCGGTGATAAGCAGCACACAGCTCCACTAAACAGCCACAGTACCAGTGTGCTCAGGGCTCAGGTCAGGTCAACTCAGGTTATCGAGTTGTATATTTGTAATTTAACACTCTGCAGCTTACTCACTTTGGTCCAAATAATGATAAAAAAACGAATAACTATCTCTTTTGGAAATAAATGTTATCATCTCTTTATTCAAAAGCATTATTACATCAATGATTGCAATATCAAATATAGTTTTCAATTTTTCATAAAATAAGGGAAAGTGATCGAGAGATAAATCAGCAATTTTTAACACAAAATGTTATGCTACACGATTCAATAAATTCATAAAGAAAAATTTCCAAACAGTTAAAATGTATTTTTATAAAACAATTGTAAAGCTAAAAAATATCAAGACTTGTTAATTCCTAAAAATATATCAGTTTCAAAGAGATATAAATTTTTGTAGTAACTGCAGACAAATGAATGAATATTATAGGACCAAATTGAGCGATGTAAAGTGTTATACTCAAGATATTTACAGCTGGGTACGGATACTTACAACAAAGCCATAACCATTCTTGATGAGAACATCACGGAACCGACCGTAGCCTCTGAAAAATCTCTCAAGGTCTCTTTCCCTGGTGCCGTATGGAAGCCCACCGACATAGACTCTTGTCCCTACCATACTGTAAAAAAAACAATTGAACCACATTAGACTTACCACAAAGGCAAATCCATTCTTCATAGCGACCTCCTTGATTCTACCATATTTCCGGAAGAACTTCTCAAGGTCGCGCTCTCTCACCCGGTACGTTAAGCCACCAACGAATACTCGAGTGCTCATTCTTAAAGGAAAATATAAAAACACCTTACATAACAGGCTACCTGCAGAACCTGCCGTTTAATCACATGACAACATAAGATAATCGTTATTTTTCAAAATTCTAACCGAGAGACGGTTAAAAATAAACTTTAATTGTTTATAAACAAAACATAACGGTGTTTCTATAATTGTTCTTTCAAGGAATACAGTAACTCAAATTAAATTTAATATCGGATTTATTAACAATTTTCATTATTCCAATATATAATACTTATATCGTATGCTAATGTCTCATCAACGAATATATAAGAAGAATCATTAATTATTCTCAATGTTTCTTTAATGCAACAAGGTGCTGACACGCTTCACGAGACAAACGTACGGAAATTTCCCGAAAGACGCGCATCGCATGGAACTCGCTGTTTCACGCCGTGATTGAGAGGACGCATGAAATTTCTTTTCCGTTTGCGCAAGACTCGAAGGGGGGAAAAAAGTATGGAACTAGAAAGAACATTTTCGTCGCGTCACGCCGGCGTGCACGCGCTATAAGACGCCACGTTGAAAGTTTTAGAAATTTTCACCGAGATCTCGGAAAAACACCACGCTCGTCCGGCTTCATCGAATACGGTACGATCGATATGGAAGGCGCCGTGTCGGTTTATTGCGCCGTGAACGATACTCCGGAGTCGTAATAATGGCCGCGGAAAAACGATCCGCATTTTAACGCGACGCGCATAAGCAAAGATCCGCGCTCGCGTGTTTTCCTCAAATCGACGCGAGCTCTCGTTTCGTCGTCACCGCGTTGAAGCGAATCGCGCGTCGTATTTCACCGAGCGGGAAACGAAAGCTGGTAAGAGAGCGTGCTCTGTGCGAGGGTGCGCTCGCCCCAGATTACATCACGTTACACAGGGTAACAGACAAATCGAACTCCGTTTTACACAACGTTCGCAGTTTTTTTTCCCCCCGAGAGACCAGCTACGGAAATTATCGGACGGAACGGACATCTGACTATTGTACTCACCTGAACGTTCAACTTGCGGTAAGTAAGTTGCGATAAATGAGCTCTCCTGTAATACGAAATCAACGAGACTGAGGATGAGAGAGATACTGAGCTGAACTCCGCACGGCGAGGTAGCCTCGTAGCAACAACGGAAACAAAAGGGGGTTCACTCGACGGCGCGCAGAGCGTAGCCTCGACGCCAGGCGTACAGCAGCGGTGCCACCACTGCCACCTAAGCTACCTTCCCCCACCCCTCCTCCAACGACGCAACTCACGCCAGTCACGCCACGGCCGAGAGAAAGAATTCGTCCGGCCTTGGACAGAGTTCTCTCGCCGAGACGATGATGCAGCGTGTACAGCGGAAATGTGTGCAGGTATATTCTGTAAAGTAATTCGAAAAAGGATGATGCAAGGTTCCGTTGAACGAGGTACTCTCCCCCACCCCTGTACTCTGTGGGTCAGTCGCTTTTACGCGGGATTCAGTCGCTCGGTCGATCGACGTAATTCGACTCGGATAAAATCCGAGGATCTTTACGGGCGCTTCGCGATACTGTTAAAACGACTTGACGACGTTTATCGGCGAAATAGGTTACTTTTACAGTCGATGGGGAACACTTCCGGTGTGGGTTCGAGGCTAGGACGCGCGCGACGCGCATGAACGGAAGTATACTACTCGCGTAGTAGCGCGATTCGAACTTCCGAATTCTTCGGGATCGTGATTACTCGGCCGAACACGAAGAAGCGTGATTATACTCGGCGAGTTCCGGGAAAATGCGGAAAAACGGCGCTTCTCTCGAATTATTTTCAGATATCTTGTCGAAATTGCGAACCGCACTGAAAGCAAATGGTGAATAAAGGCAATACGTGTTTTAATAATAGGCCTGTTCTTTTCGGCTGAACTTTTGCACCGGTTCACCTTTCTTCCTCTTCTTTCTTCCTGGAGAGAAAAGGAAGAAAGATGAACTGGTGCAAAAGTTCAGCCAAAAAGAACAGACCTAATTATTGGTGCTCGAGTTGGCCTCAAATAATAGTTTATTGATTTTTATAGAAAAATTCCTTAAATGCAATTTCTGCAATTTATTTGTTAGGCCGGCGTCTCGTGAGCGGAAATTTACAGCGGAACGGAACAGCGAGACCAATCATAATCGCAGAAAAAAAAAACAGAGTAATGATTGCAGAGTTGTGATTGGTCGTGCCGTTCAGCTGTAAATTTCCGTTCATGGGACGACAGCCTTACGTCTTTGTAAGAATTTTAAAATTTCTACACGAGTACATATACATAGATCAACGTAATTTTTTTTTGCAGACATTGTACATGTCGAGTTATATATCTATAGATGCCTTTTCATGCTGACGCCTCAACGCTCATTTTCAGCGTCGAAATAGATCGCATGATCAAAATTGATGCTTGATATTCGTCAATTTCTATCATATGACTTATTTTAACGCCGAAAATGAGCGTCGAGCGTCAGCATGAAAAGGCACTTTATCCGCGTTGCTTGAAATCCCCAGCAAAAGCACTTAAATATATTCGGGCATTGAAGAGAGAGAAGGTGGAAATGCTGAGTGCAAAAAGTGCAAGCAATAGTAACAGATCTTTTATTACACACAAAAATCGTGCGTTTAAAGACTGAAAAATTATTATTTTATTGCATCGACAAAACGGGATATAAGTAATCTTTGTATTCGATCATATAAAAAAAAAATCGGCAAAAGAAATTAACGCGTTGTCGATATATCGAAATTGTGTCGCTATCTCTTTTTCAAAAACTTACCAACGTTTCCCTGTCTCTCTTTACGATATAAATTTTTTAAAGTCGCGCGTTTTTGGGGCAACGCGAGAATCTTGGATCGCGCGTTTGCGTGAGATAAACATTCGTCGCGGCATATACTAGAAAACGGCTCGAGATTTGGACCGTAATTCGAAATTGTATGTATAACGTGCACACAGGTGGATACCGAGAGGAGTATCGAGAAACGAGATCCGCCAGGAGCTGCGCGTACGGGCGCCACCAGCGCCACCTACTGAAAACAAAAATGGTAGCGAGCAATATGCCCTATCCCTGCCCCGCTTTAATGGCACGCCAAATGTCTGCGTTCTCTAGGCTTCCTTCTACCATGTATTCCCCTCCGACCGATGTATCTGATCCCGCTGTGAATAGAGGAAATCGCATTCCGGTAGTAGACTTTGTTACGCGTGCGAAATAAGCGGGGCCGTCTTATAACCAAAACATAAGGTGAAAGCAAAAGCCGTTGGCGAGATATTTAGCCGAATTATAACCGCACCAGCTCCCGATACGACGTGTCACTCGCCTTATATAATGAAATTAGCCGCGCACGATCCCGCATGCCAGTTCCACGCCCGTAATATGCGTCATCCGCTGCTAGAAACACGAGAATCCCCAAAGTACGATAACGGTAGCCCAGCTGAGAAGCGTTCTCTGTGGTTTGCTGTCGGGAACATGCACGTTTTCCTTTTTCCGTCCCGGTAGATTATGTCGATATCCCACGTATCCTCGTGTAACACTCGTTTTCGTTACTTTCGTTACAGCCTGCAAGGCTTTTCCACGTTTTCTTATTGGGTTTTCACAATTTTTGGAAGGGAAACACTTGCACTATACTGCTAAAACTTGTATGTTTATTACTGTATATATTCACTATCTTAGTGAAACGATCAAGTATCATTTTTTGGTTTGCAAGCATTATTGAAAGATTTATTTTTGCATGTTATTGAAGACTTGTAGAGATTGGTAGTTTATAAGTATACATAAAATTGTTTTATTTATTTTTTTTTTCTTAATTGCTAAGGTCCTTTTTTTATTTATTGTGCATTGTTACAGATTGTCAGATTTCTCATAGACGGGTAATGTCTGATAGAGCAAACAGGATGAAGCTAGAAGCTGAGATGGCTGCGCCTTTGCATCTGCAGAGACTGGAACGCAGCTTGAATGTACAGCCTTTCTTAAAGCAGATTGATGATCTTTTTCAAGAACAAGCTAGGTACTGATATATTTATTAACTGTTACGTATATTCTTGTTGTTTTTTAGCTTGTAATACATTAATAGTACATTATAAATTAATATTATGGATACAGTAATACGAATATTTTGTTTCTATTTTTCAGTGAAGATGACAAGTCTGTCTCATCGGAATCTTCTGATGGTTCAGATGCTTATCTTGATAATGTACCCACGCGAAAAGAAGGTTGGTATATATGATTGATTTTAATTTTATTAAACCATTTAATTAATGTTTTTGTAACATACATTATTTTTTTAGAAGCAAGAATCAATAAGTTAAGGCTGTACAATATGTCTAGTGTAGGAGAAGAAAGACGTTGGTTGCAAGATATTCTTTTAAGTGATTCCTCTGATAGTTCTGCATCAGGTTCTGACACAGATAGCCAAATCACGGAAGAAGATTTTCAAGAGATGTTGAAGTTTCATATATTACGAAAAAAATATCAAGGTCGTTTTTATCAAAAACCAGAAGTAAGGAGCATATGATAGTTAAACTTTGTATATTTAATAATGCAGATAATTCAGGATATTATAAAATATATATTTATGTATTATAAAAGTACATCCATAAGCTACACATACTTATTTTTTTTATTTTTTCAAAGAATGTTGCCATATGATATTTTTGTATTTTGAGATTCCTCTAACAATTTATAATTTGATATTATGACAATTTCATAATAACATTATCTTTTTACTATTGGTCTTTATGCGTGCAATTTTCAATTACTCGTTTTTATTTATTTTTACTTAAATTTTATTTTGTACATTATCATGTTTTTGTTAGCATATAGCTATAACTTTGTTACAAGTTGAATTGTTTGCAATATTCTTACTATATTTTAATTTACAGTATAGAATTAAGAATTTGGAACTGACTTGGTTTATTAGCCTATTTTTATTTCTTTTATTTATAAAGTATTATTATTTTCAGAATATACAATATCAATATTATAGTGCGGGTTTATTATCCAATTACGATAGATTTTTAGAGCATCAAAAGTTAATTGTGGGAAATAAAAAGAAGAAAGAGAAAAAGCCAGAAAAAAAAATTATGAAAATTAAGAAGGAAAAAATTAATCGTCACTGCGTATCTGAGGAATATCGTGTATGTACTAAATTTTATATTACATTTATATTGACACACGTTCTATATTTCCTTTTTACGAAATATATACTTTTAAACAAAAGTTAAAAAAGGAGCATACAGCCAATACGCTAGTTATTTGTTGCGTGTCATATATTTAAAATAATCATTACAAATTGAAATTCATAAACGTTTCGGCCGATATTCGGCCTTCGTCAGTATGTTCTACAATACAATTTTAAGTCGGAAGTTAGATAAGTTAAAAATTACAATTTAAAATTTATATGAGATTAAATCTCAGTTCATTATAATGTGAGATGGTCAGTTAATATAAGAAGTTGAGTGTATGAAACCGTATAAAGTTCTTGTGAAATGGTTGATTTTTTGTGAATATTACAATGTTGGTCCGCTATTAATTGCAAATCCTCGCGTCGTAAAGAATTTCCAAGTTCTAATTTGAATTTACATAATTACAAAGTTATAAAGACTTTTTTAATACATGATTATAAAGATAGTATTAATTACTTAATGTACTTTTACTCGTATGTAATAAGAGCTATAATTATTCGATTTTTCATTCTATAGTTTAATTTGAATTTTTAAGGATGGAAGAAACTTTCTAGTACATTACTTGTTAACAGAATTTTTGTGTTTCTCTGTGTTCTGTCCTTCTGTATTTATATTGACTAGAAAAATTATAAAAGGGAAAATTAGAGGAATGGGATGGAAGTTGTAAGGAGGACATTATTATTCGTTTAATAGGGGCAAGTATAATTCCGGTAATCGATCGGTGTCACTTTGCTTATTTAATCTCTAAGATGATACATATTAAAAAATAAAAATCAGGATTAAATAAGCAAAGTGACACCGATCGATTACCGGAATTATACTTGTCCCTATTAAACGAATAATCTCTTACTTACAACTTCCATCCCACTCCTCTAATTTTCCCTTTTTTAATTTTTCTAGTTAATATAAATACAAGGACAGAACAC